AGCAAGCAAGCAAGCAAGCAAGCAAGCAAGCAAGCAAGCAAGCAAGCTCAGGGGTCGAAAGGGATGTACGGAATGGGTTGAGCAAATCAATCCCACAACCTGTAACCATGGAAGACCTTTCCCTAAAATAGTGAAAATATCTTGCCAGCTATCACTGGCAATGGGACACGCTGGACACACCCCTAACAATGGGTTGACACAGACTTCACCATGAATGTCACCCAAATGCAGAGTCATGCTTAGCATGGAATATGGAAGTAGATGGCACCAGCCGTTTGGGATTCGGAGCTGCGCCATGCGGGTCACTCTACACCCGTTGCGTCCGTGTGAAACATTGCCTCACCCTACCCCAGGGCCATGACGACCAGGAGAATTCCATTGCTGCCACAGTGCCTACAGTCTTAGAGATGACTTGGAACTGCGGATTCAGAAACTTGCACCCGAGTGAATTGAAGAAGAATGATCCTGTACCATCTTGGACTATCCGATATCCAGGAGCGATATCCCACTTGACAAATCTTGGATTAAATATATAAAAGCGTAGTATGTAATTATGTAATGTAGTTTTGTCCATCGGCATACCTCGCTTTCGATCCACTTTCCTTTCCAACCTCGGCGGTCTGCAGGCTCACTGCTGGCCGTGAAGTAGCACTGCAGGAGGACTCCATTTCTGGTGCCTGCAACACAGTCTGCGTCCTCTATGAGGACTCCATTTCTGAGTTCTTCGCACGTCAGTCCGCTCGTTCCGCGCCCGGATTCCGGGGTAGGTCAGCCCGCTCGGGTGAGTCCCGCGGGGGTGGACCACTGGTGTCGTGGGGTGAGCGCCGCTCGGGTGGCTCTTGGAGGTGGATCAAGTCCACCTCCTAGAGCCCCTAGCAGCTCGGAGGCCGCTCGTTCACGAGACGGACCAGGCCGCTCGAGCACCTGCGCGGCCGCGCGGTTCTTCTCCAGAAGCCGTGCAAGCTCAGTTGCTTGGTCCCCGAAGTGGTGCGCACCCAAGCAGCCCAGCTCCTCCAGCAAGATAGATGGAGGGACACTGGGTATGATGGAGAGGGTGTAATTTTGCCATGAAAGAGGTTCCAATTTCTTCCATGAACAGTAGGGTGGGTGTGGTCCTGTGAACATGTTCATCTGGGACAATTTGTCTCTGCTTTGCTTTCCTCGATGATCTTGGGAGTTGAGGATTGGAACTGGAGAAAGCCCAACCAATATTGAAGCAAGTGTGATTCCCAAGCGTGTGTGCCTAGCATCGTGCCAAGCATCTTCCCGACATGACCCGACTGCGTGGGCTCTTTAGCTTGGAAAGAACATAGGTTACACTGTCATGAACCCCCATGTTCCAGCTCGATGACCGCACTCGATTGCCAAAATCATCCAAAATATTCATCTGATTCGTTCAATCACCACCAACCTCCTCTGGAGCACCTGCAACATTGAGAAAGTCTACAAAGACCTCTGTCGATCTTTTCAAGTAGTTGTACTCGCCAGGGTCTGTACTTCCCAAGAACACAACACTCACATCTCTCATCTCAGCTTAAGTCATTCCCATTTATTTTCCTCATCTCACCCCAGAAAGCGTCAACCCCCCAACAACCCCCCAACAACCCCGCCATTGCCGGCACCACCGGCTAGCCCGTGCCGTGTTCCACCCGCTCCTCCCCCGAGAGCTCGGGCAAATGTCGCACTCGGTCCTGCCAGGGGACGACGAGGCCCGATGAGCCGGAGCAGTGGCGCCGGGCGTAGGGGTCGCAGCCCGCCTGCAGGGCGTAGTGAATGTACTGCGAGATGAAGTCCTGAAGTGTCTAAGAGTCCACAGAAGAAAAAGGAAGAGGATGGAAGGGGGGTTCCACCACGGCGTGCGATGGATCAAGAAACTGTTTGTTGCAAAAAGGTTTGAGCTTCAATTGGACTCCCTGAACTTCTATTCCATCCACTTCTGGCTTTTTGGGGGCCCATAAATGTAAACCTCGAGCTCACCCGGCCTCACAGCTGAGGCCCTGCAATGGATCCCACCTGCCAGTGCTGCGGTACAGAGCGTCCGGACCATCGTGGCGGTCTCCACGCCGCCCGTCTCCGCCCCCCGCAGGCCCAGTTTGGGTGACTCCTCCAGGCTTCTGCGAAGCAAAGGGGACATACAGCCAAAGTCTGACTGGGAGGTTCTGTCGGACTGGAAAGTACCTGATTAGAAAAGTACTGAAAGAAAACTGGGTACAGTCGTAGGCCCTGCAGATTCATGGTCCTATTTTCCAGGGTACAAACTATAGGGTCCAGGTGTGTTGATCTCCCGGTGCTTTTCGGTCAACCTCGGTCAACGGTTTCCACCATGGCGAAAGCTATGACACCCACGCGTGGGATTTCTGGGGGAAGGCGGCGCCTCTTCAGGGCGCTGCCCGTGGGCACCGCCGCCCACGGCTCCGACGCCGCCTCCGCCGCCCGAGACGCTCCGCGCGTTCGGAGAGCTCGGCGCAAGACTGGGGGCATGTCTTGCCTTTCAGCTAAGCAGGGCCATTTACGGAGACAGCCTCATGGTCATAACAGTGAGGAGTGGTTCAAATGGTTGGCTGTCTAAAGTTGAATACACTCAATACACTCTGACATGAACATCAAATGAGATCACATGGCCCGCTGAACAACTCCGTCTCCTTCAAATTTACAGTACTATTATAGTGGCTTCAGACTAGATGGCACAATCCCCAAAAGGTGTTTAAAAAGGACCCCATCTAAAAGACATCTTGGGGTGCCAGTGCCATCTACTCTGAAACCAATGTAATGCCTTCCCATTCTACATCAATGACAGCGCGGAGTTCCAAGTCGTGTTCTCCAACCCATCGCCACTGCCTTGCCCGGCGCCAGCACAGCCCCATCGCAAGTGACTCGCGTCCAGTCATAGACCGCGGAACCTCGCTCGGCACTGCAGGTTCGGCGCTGGACTGGGAATTGGCCACTGAGTCACTCCAAACAAGCTGAAGGAAGAATATACAGAAGATTTTACTTGCAAAGAGCACGCCAGATGTAGAATCTTGCCATTTTTCACCCCACATACGTCAAAGCAGACATCGAGCACCGTGCTGTCTGTTTGCTCACCCCAAAGCGCCTGGCACAAAGCCAGAGGCCAAAGTCGCCTCCTGCGAGCTCACAGCACTGGATTTGTTCCAGCAAGAAGAGTGGAATAAATTTACGCTTTTCATGCACAATTTTTGGGTGATGACCCGCAGCCATGTCCTCGCTGCGTTCCAAAGCGAAGCAACTAGCTGACCAATGCACCAAAATACACCCTTGAGTGGAAAACAATGAAACTAGGTTGCATCTCGAGGTTGTGACAAGCTTCGCCCCCACTATCGTTGTAGAACCCACATCTTGTGAACTGCCAACATGATTTTCAAGCGAGCTGAGGCCAATCCCGAAGTTCTCAACCATGGTTCTAGTGAAGAGGTACATGAGGGTGCTCAAACGAAAAGGTCGGGCGGCCTAGGCCGAAAGAGTGAAGTGGCACGCAGGTGGCTTAGCACTAGGTGCCGAAAAAGTAGTTCCAACTGGTCAAACACTTCTCCACCAACTTTCCTCATTGAAGCGGAGAAAGCCTTACAGTAGTTTCCTCAGCGGGCAAGCCTTCCCGGCTGAAAAGAGACAAGCGAGTCATGCCAGCAGCCCTTTTGCGCAGGTGCTGTGCCAAAAGCTTACGAACTGCTTTCTTGGCACAGTGATATGCCTCGAATCGCCTCACGAATGTTAGAGGGCAACTTGCCCCGAATGGTCTGTGCGCGCACTGAGCGAAACCTCAAAAGGGAGAACTGCTTCGAAACACGACGCCCAGGATCACATTGCCAAACAAGCAGGAACCAACTTCAAGGACATCACGCAACTTAAGCTCGTCTGAGGCCAAACGAGTCTGAATCTCAAGCCACCTGTGCCACGACAACAAATGGGGCTCAACTTGTGCAGCCAGCTCGCGCGGGTCAAAGTTCTGGAAACAAGCACGCTTCATTCCAAGAGCGGCTCCACAGGGGTAAGAGGCAAAGATGGCAAAGTTGTCACCAAAAACACTGACCACTGAGCAACCGCAAAACACGATTTGCTAGCCCCAAGTCAAGGGTATTGCTATGCTGTTCAGGAGTAGGCAAGGGAGGCGCTCCCAAGCTGTTCAGAAGCACCATGGAACCCAGAAACTCCGAAGCAAATGTGCCATTGACAGGAGCAGACATGAGATCAATTGATTGGCCACCCCTCGCAGCAAACAACGAGGGTAAGTTCATGTCACTCATGAAGACATGAAGGGCAAGAGGATGCAGTACCTTGCAGGGCACGCCATTCTTTGCCTATAGCTTCAAAGTAGGCAGTCCTGTCAGGACAACAGTAACCCGAATGAGATGCATAAGCAGCCCCTACGAGAATCACTATGGCATCGGTGCGAAGCAACCACGCAAAGATGCAAAATCGTCTTCCAAAAGGACCATGACATCCACTGCCGATTTCGAGAGTCGGTGACGGACCAGCCCTTTTCCCGGATGAGCAAAGTAAGCATGTGGCACACCTGGGACAGTTTCGACCGACCCCACACTGACACCGAAGCAGCTCGAGTTGAGTGAATAAATCAAAAGAATTCAAGAGAAATGACCACCAGCGGAACAAATGGTATAGATCTACCTGAATGTCCTCTTTTAGGGGTTGGGTGCAGTTGATGGCAAAAATCTTGCACAACTGGGTGTCCTCGCTGGCTGTTCCGGCCCTGTAGCCATCCATCAGCGCTTGATTGGCACCTGTCAACGCCACAATGACCAGTGCACCCTGACCAACCCGCAGTTGCAGGGTTCAATCAATCCTCCAAGATCCATCGTGGAGGGTTCTCCCTTCAGTCGTTGAGCAAGCCGTCCAATATCCCCCCCATTTGGTGTCAAATATCACCCCTTTCAGCTGAATAAACCTGCTTTGTGGGTTAAGCAAAGGGCACGGCAGATTGGTCGGACCCTCCTCAGTTGCGCACGTTTCATGCAGCTGTCCTATCCCTGTAACTGCTTTAATCTCCCCTGATTTTGTCGGATTCTCATATACTTATAATTATAATATATTATAGATATAGATATAGTTATCCAACAAAAAAGAGGCCCTGTCCTCTTCTCATTCACACTTCCAAGACAGCACACAAACAAAGAGAGTGTCTGATAGCAATGGGGGAGACTGCCGAGGTGGTGGCTTTTCCCACTGGCAAAATGGTCTCTTCATCTGGAACAGGTTCTCATAAACCGGAGACTGCAGCTACTTCATCAAACAAAGAAGCCCGATTCACCCGGTTTCAGGGCACAAACCACAGGGGCTTTCAGCAGCAAAAAGTGAAACAGCCGCGGACAGCAGCTGAACCCTTTCGTGGCTTATTGCGGCCATGTGGAGAACCACCACAAGGAAACCAAACGGCGCGGTCT